TTGGGAGGCTGAGGTGAGTGGACTGCCTGAGACCGTGGGTTCGAGACCCGCCTGGGCAGCAAGATCTCATCTCTACAATAAATTTTTAAAAAATCAGCCGGGTATGGTAGCACATGTCTGTAATTCCGGCTACTTGGAAAACTGAGGCGGAAGGATCACCAGAGCCCAGCAGGTCGAGGCTGCGGTGACCGGGAGCAGCCACTGCACTCCAGTCTGAGCGACAGAGTGACTCCAACTCAAAAAAAAAAAAAAAAAAGCCAACTGTGCACTTTGGGAGGCTGAGGTGAGATGATTGCCTGAGTCTGTGAGTTTGAGACCAGCCTGGGCAACTTGAGAGGCCTCATCTCTACAGTAAATCAAAAAATTAGCTGGGAGTGGTGGCACACACCTGTAGTTCCAGCTACCTGGAAGGCTGGGGCGGAAGGATGGCCTGAGCCCAGCAGGTCGAGGTTGCGGTGGCCACGAGCGTGCTACTGCCCTCCAGCCTAGGTGACAGAGTGAGACTCCAACTCAAAAAAAAAATGCCGACTGTGGAAAAGGGTACAGAAAAACAAAACACCTTCCACAGGATTCAAGGACACAGCCAGCCTTCTTGGGGCCGAAGCTTTAAAGCATGTTTGCCATTAGAGCTGATCATTCAACCCTAGGGATGGTCCGAAGGGAAGAATGGAAGATGTACACCAAGTCTTGTCACAGTGGGTCCTCCACCACATTGTTTATAACCACAGAGAATGGGAGCGCCCAAGCAGGACTCATTACGCCAAAACATCTGGGGTATGGTGAGGAAGCACTGGAAGGAAAGTAGAGCTGTAAGTACCTGCACTAAAAAAGAAAAATACAGGCTGGACTCGGTGGCTCTGCCTGTAAATCCCAGAACTTTGGGAGGCCGAGGCAAGTGGACTGCCTGAGCCCGCGGGTTGGAGACCAGCCCGGGCAACTTGGCAAGACCTTGTCTCTACAATAAATCAAAAATTAGCTGGGCATGATAGTGCACACCTATAGTTCCAGCTATTTGGAAGGCTGAGGTGGAAGGTTCACCAGAGCCCAGCAGGATGACGCTGGGGTGGCTGTGAGTGTGCCACTGCACTCCAGCCTGGGCAACGGAGTGAGACTCCAACTCAAAAAAAAAAAGAAAAAAGAAAAAAAGAAAAATATGTCGAACCAATACCTGTACTTACACCTTAAGGAAATATTAAAAAACAGTTGAACCCAAAAGTAGCAGAAAGTAAGAAATAATAAAAATTAGAGCCGAGATAGAGAATAGAATAGTGAGAACCCAACTAATCCAAAAACTGCTTCTTTGAAAAGATCAACAAAACTGGCAAATCTTTAGCTGGAATGGTCAAAAAAAAACATTCAAACTACTAAAATCAGAAATGAAAAGTGAAGGGCTCACGCCTGCAATCCCAGCACTTTGAGAGGCCAAAGGGGGGGATCACTTGAGCCCAGGAGTTTGAGACCAGCCTGGGCAACACAAGACCTTGGTTCTGTGAAAAAAAATAAGGCATGCTTCCTATTGCTGTCTGGATAGCAACATCTTACTTCTGCTCGCTGTCTAAAGAGCATCAACAAACGAACGCTTCTTAGAACCGAAACGGGATCACAGCGGCTGTCACTGGCGGAGGCCCGTGAAGCTGGCCTCCCCTACCACTCACTGCACTGGCCTCGGTCTACACTGCAAAGTGCTGGACAGCACCTGGTGGGGGGCTGGCCCTGCACAGCGAAGGAGCACTTCTCACCTGGCAGAGTGAGAATGTGGCAGACACAACCCCAATCAACACATTGAGCACGTCCTTCACCAGCTCACACTCCGGCAGCAGCACGGGCGGCGTGGTCGGCATGAGGCCCCCAGCGAGCACCTGCAACTCCCCTTGGCGGAGCCTGCAGAACCTGTCGAAGGCGTCCCTGCCTGCCTCGGTCAGGTAGGGCTCCTCTCTGTGGCCAGGGGGCCTGCGGGGGGATAGAGGAGAGGACGGTGAACAGACTGTGTCGGTGCGCTCCTCTCAGGAGCAGGCATGAGCAGACAGGAGCAGTTCGAAACAGCAGGCTCTAAGAACAGAGCCAGGTGTGACGGCCAGCCAACGCCAGCCCTTTAGGCACACCAGACAGGTTTGAAGCTAGCTGCCACGAGTCCATCAGAACAACTCTGTGGAAGCATGTCCAGGACACACGCCTGGAGTCCAGGGCGTGGCAACAGTGTCCCCACTGGCCCAGCCTTGGAAGAGCACCCCACAGGCCACAACAATGGTCCTTAGAATGATGACTCACTCCCAACGTATTCTTCCAAAGGCAAACACAAGGCCTGGCACAATGGCTTATGCCTGCTCCGGGTGGCAAGAAGTTCCAGGCATAGCAGCCTTTCCCCCACTGGTGCCAGCAGTTTGCTCCCTGGGCATAGGAGCCACTCACAGCCTGGGCTCATCCGGGCCCAAAGGCCTCTGCACTCAGGACCACTCAGAGTCTTCAATGTGCTGGTATCTCAAAAGCATCTAGAACCTAAGTGGAGGACATGCATTTCCCAGAGTGTTTGGTCATCCAATCCACTGATGACTCTGTGGAATACCATTCTGGGGAGCACTGAGTTAAAGAATCAGGGCTGGCAGGGAACTGAGTGGCCGTGGTTGCAGCCCCTGGGCTCCCACAGGGTCTCCTGGAGAGGAGCACGTGCCCACTGGAGCACGTGCCCACCTTTCCTGGGTGTGGTCATCTGTCCTCATGTAGATTTCTCCAGGCATGGCTAGCTTCCTGCTTCCCAGCACAGTGGTGTCGGCATTTGTCCTGCCTTCTTTTTTTTGAGTCGGAGTCTCACTCTGTCACCCAGGCTGCAGTGCAGTGGCACACTCATGGCCACTACGACCTCGACCTGCTGGGCTCAGACAATCCTTCTCCTCAGCCTTCCAAGTAGCTGGAACCACCACACCCAGCTAATTTTTTAAAATAATTGTAGGGATGCAAGTTGCCCAGGCTGGTCTAGAACCCATGGGCTCAGGCAGTCTTCTTGCTTCTCCCTTCCAAAATGCTGGGATCATAGGCGTGAGCTACCTCACCCAGCTAATCTCATCTTCTTGCACATACAAAGCAAATGTAACGGTCATGCCTTCTGCTAATTTCACACAGTTAAAATCAGCCCCAAAAGTTATTGCCTTCTTTTGTAAATGTTTGCTGGCATTCCATTTATTAGGATCCACTGCCCTAGGTTGTTTTTCGGGTCACTGTTCAGGAGACATGGTCACTCACCAGTTCATTGTCCTCGTCACCTTGTTCTCAATGCACTTAATCCTCTTGGTGTCCCTTGAAGCACAGAACTGGCCCCAGGGTTCCAGCACGGAGCCCCCTGCTGGTATTTTCTGTGGGGAGGATGAAGACTAACATTCCCAAGGCAGCTTCTGCAGAGGACCACTCGGACCCTGTGGGATGCAGGCGCTGTGATCACCCTGACATTTGGCACTGATGAGCAAGGGGCCACACAGTGGCTGGGCCCGAGGTTCACCTCCCCTGGGCTCCGCCATTGCCCAGTCGGTCTGATCATCACAGGACCCCCATTGTTGCAGGTGGATCAGCCTGAGGCTGTGGTTCAAGTTCATTTGGCTAGTCATTTGGTCTTCAGTCTACATCCTAGCCATCTGCTAGGTTCCTGCTGCAGCAAGCTCCAACCTATGGGTGGCCAAAGAAGCTGCTGCCAACTGGCCAGAGGCAGAGTCCTCCTCCCTGCCCAAGTCCCTGTGGAGGCCCCATCCACAGTTCTGCTGCCGAGGCCTTTAGAGCCTGGCAAGGCTAGTTCTCTGCATATGTCATCCAGATGGCCTAGGCATTTTTGCCATGTTGGGGGCTGCGTTTTTTGTGGGGACGTGGGAAGGTGGTGTGTTCGCAGCAGCCCCTGGAGTGCTACCCTGCATCTTCAGGTTCCCATCCTGGGCTTTTCTCCCTCAGCCTCGAGTCACCAAGACACAGTGTGTGGCCAGGGTGCTTGGGTCCCGGAGGAGCTGGGGCAGGAGTGGCTATGATGGGAGGTGGGGTTGTGCCACAGCCTGCACCTCGGCCTCCACCCAGGTGTGGGTGTGCAGTAAGGAATGTAGGCGTGTAGTGAGCCAGGGGTGTGGGTGTGTACAGGACAGTGTACACTGTTCCATATCCCTGAGCAGAGCACCATGGGTGGGCACATTTCTGGAAGGTTGTCTGGCCTGGGCTGCCCTATACCAGCTCATCTTGCCTGTTTTATCTTGAAAACTAGCAGTTTTTTGCTGTGTCCACACCGTGTTTTGGGGCCTAGCATAATACACGGAGTATCTTTTGCCTTCCTAACCTTTTAGGTGAGCGGTGCCTAGTCTGCATATACCTACGTTGTTGTGCTGCAGTCCACAGTGCCTCTTCCTCTTGCAGAGCTGAAGCTGTTCGCCCAACTCCCTGCCCTGGCAGCCACCTTCTGCTACCTCTAGCATTGTGTCGGCTGCAGGGATGTTACTAAGTGGAACCATGTGGTATTTGTCCTTTTGTGATTCTTGTTCCACTCAGCATCATATCTTCAAGGGCAATCCATGTGTAGCCCATGTCAGGATTTCCTTCCTTTCTACAGCTGAGTAATAGACCACTGCACAGATGGACCGTATTTTACATGTCCATTCCTCCTTGCGGGATACTTGGGTTGCTTTTGCCGTTTGGCTGCTGTGAACATCAGCGTACTACCCTTGTGTGTGTGTGTGTTTGTTTGTTTGAGTTGGGGTCTTTGTCGCCTACACTGGAGTGCAGGGGCATGATCATGGCTCACCGCAAACTTGACCTCCTGGGCTCAGGCGAGCCTTATGCCTCAGTCTCCCAAGCAGCTGAGACTACAGGCTTGCACCATCACACTGGACTAATTTTCTGTTATTTACAGAGATGGGGTCTTACTATGTTGGCCAGACTGGTCTTGACCTCCTGGGCTCAAGTAATCCCCCTGCCTTGGCTTCCCAAAGTGGTATTCCAGAGTCACCAGTGGATTGGATGACCAAACACTCTGGGAAATGCATGTCCTCCACTTAGGTTCTGGACGCTTTTGAGATACCAGCACACTGAAGACTCTGAGTGGTCCTGAGTGCAGAGGCCTTTGGACCCAGATGAGCCCAGGCTGTGAGTGGCTCCTATGCCCAGGGAGCAAGCTGCTGGCACCAGTGGGGGAAAGGCTGCTATACCTGGAATTTCTTGTCACCCAGAGCACCACTCCCGGCTCTTTCAGACATGGAAAAGGCTCCTGTGGCAACACCCTGTGCCCAGGGAGCACTTCTTCCTGGCACTGACCACATGGCTTGCCTTGCTAGTAAGAATAGAAGAAACTCAGTTGCCCACTGATTGCTCTACCTGGAAAGTGAGATTTGCAGAGGCCACTGGCACAGAGGGGACCTCCTTGAAGGCTGGAAGTCCTTTCCCCTCTGCGTCTCTCCTAATTCCCAGCACACAAGCGACTGAAACTTCCAGGTTCCTCATCCCATCACAGCTGCCCGAGCTCACTGAGCAAGCAATGCTCCCCGCAAGCCTGAGGCCATGCTCACACAGGGGTGGGGACGGTGCCCCAAAAGGCAAAGAAAGGCTCACACACCATCCAACTCGCTCCCAGCACCGCCGCTTGCTGGCCTCGTAAGTGAGTGCCGCCTCCCACAGGTCCACATCCGGGGTCACGCTGGGCTCAGACTGGGAATCAGGAGTCAAGTTGGACGCCGACTGGAACCCTTCATCCTCCCACAGGTCCATACTCTGCGGGACCTAGAGACACAGGGAAGAGCAAGCCACCACCCGTTCCTTGGTGTCCACGCTGCACGTGGTCAGAGTGAATCAGAGCTCCAGGACTTTATCCACCCACTTCCATTTATTCGCTAGAGGCAAAGACCTGGCAGAACGTTTCCTCTATTATCTCAAGCCCATGTGTACCATATGATGTTTCTGCCAGTGAATCACGTTAAAGAATTGAAGTAATTCATCAAGGCTATTCATCTCCAATTCAAATAAGTCTCAACATAACTTACAATGAAACTTATTTTTTATTTTAGATTATAAATTACAGTTTATTTAGAAAGTAAATAAGTAGGGGAGGGAGCCAAAGCCTCAGTGAAACTTTTTATGAAACACCTCTGACCTAAAATTCCATTTCAGAGCCAGCGGCTCAGCCTATAATCCCACGCCTTTGGGAGGGTGAGGTGAGTGGATTGCCTGAGCCCGTGGGTTCGACACCCGCCTGGGTAGGCGAGACCTCATCTCTACAATAAATCAAAAAATCAGCCGGGCGTGGTCGCGCGTGCTTGTAATTCTGGCTACTCGGAAGGCTGAGGCGGAAGGATCGCCGGAGCCCAGCAGGTCGAGGCTGCAGTGGCTGGGAGCGGCCACTGCACTCCAGTCTGGGCAACAGAGTGAGACTCCAACTGAAAAAAAAAAAAAATTCCATTTCAGGGAGCCCAGCATAAAAAAAATACTAAACACAAAAAAGTCGGGCACAGTGACTCACACCTGTAATCCCAGCACCTCAGAAGGCCAAGGCAACAGGACTGCTTGAGCCTAGTTCAAGACCAGCCTTGGCAACATAGCGAAACCTCTTTTTTTTCTTTTTCAGATGGCGTCTCACTCCATCATCACAATGGCATTCTCACAGCCACCCCAGTGTTGACCCGCTGGGCCCTGGCAATCCTTCCACCTCAGTCTTCCAAGTAGTCAGAACTACAGGCAGGCACTACCACACCTGGCTAATTTTTGATTTATCGTAGAGATGAGGTCTCACCAAGTTGCCTGAGCTGGTCTCAAACCTGCCAGCTCAGGCAGCCCACTTGCCTCGGCCTCTCAAAGAGCTGGGATTACAGGCTGAGCCACCAAGCCTAGCTTCATCTATTTAAAAAAAAAAAAAATTACTGAGGCCAGGTGCAGTGGCTCACGCCTATAATCCCAGCACTTTGGGAGGCCGAGATGAGAGAACTGCCTGAGCCCATAGGTTCCAGACCAGCCCAGCCCGGGGAATTTGGCGAGACCTCGTCTCTACAATAAATCAAACAAAAGGGGCCGGGCATGGTAGGGCCCACCTGTAGTTCCAGCTATATGGAAGGCTGAGGCGGAAGGATCGCCGGGGCCCAGGGTGTTGATGCTTGGGTGGCTGTGAGCGTTCCCCTGCAATCCAGCCTGGGCAAGACTGAGACTCCAACTCAAAAAATCAAAACTATTGCGAACCAAGATGTCTGCTGTAGCACCATTTATGTTTGCAAATAACGTAAATATCTCACAGTAACGAAATGAATACTAATGGTGCATTCTCTTAGTAACTTGCAAAACAATAAAAAGTCGGTGTTAACTTTCGTAACACAGAAAAAAAGCCCCACGTCACAGATGAAAAAAGCAAACCAAGCCAGGCTCGGTGGCTCAACCTGTAATCCCGCACCTTGGGAGGCTGAGGTGAGTGGACTGCCTGAGCCCAAGGGTTTGAGACCCGCCTGGACAACTTGGCGAGACCTCATCTCTACAGTAAATCAAAAAATCAGCCGGGCGTGGTAGCGCGCACCTGTAGTTCCAGCTACTCGGAAGGCTGAGGCGGAAGGATCGCCGGAGCCCGGCAGGTCGAGGCTGCGGTGGCCGGGAGCGGCCACTGCACTCCCGTCTGGGCGACGGAGTGAGACTCCGACTCAAAAAAAAAGAGAAAAGAATAAAAAACAAAAAAGCAGACCAAACGGCACGTAGAGCGTGCACAGATGTTTCTGCCACACGTGGCTACCGAGCCCCTGAAAGGCGGCTGGTGCGGTAAAAAGCCTCAACAGCTCACTCCACCCCAATGAGCTTAAGCGGCAGCTCTAGAGGGCCAGAAAGAAACGCTTCCCGACCGCCCGCCCGGCGGAAGGGGAAGGACAGCACGCGGCTTCGGCCCGCCGCCCCCCAGCGACGAGCCCGACGAGCGGAGGCCGGAAAGGCCGCCTCGCGCCGCGGGGAGGCGA